CTTGGGCTCTCACGTTTGCGCGCGCGGGGCTCTCTACGTTGAAAATCGTTTGGAGTGTCGTTGCGCGACAAAACCGGTTTCGTTCGGCTCGGCGAATCTCGGCGTTTATACAAAGGTCGTGTGTGAGAGCGCGCCGCGCGCGCGACTGCCAGCGAGTGGTAGGAGTGAGATTTATGGAAAACGAATTTACACGAGGTCACACCCACGGGAGCGGCTCTCTCTCTCTCTCTTTCTTTCTCTCTCCCTCCCTCCCTCCCTCCTTCCCTCCCCCTCTGTCTCTCTTCTCTCCTCCGTGTCTGTACGCTTCTGCGTCTGTCTTCTTCTAGCTTCCGTCTCTCTCTCTCTCTCTCTTTCCTCCCCTCTCTCTCTCTCTCTCTTCCGCTCGCTCTTCGGCTATCAGTCTATCCGCGCACAATCTCTCTATTAATAATAACGACGAGACCGTCGCGATAACGACACGAGCCGGCGGCTAGACGTCGAGAGCACGCAGCCGAGAGAGAAAGAGAGATAGATCTCTCCGCGGAATCGAGGTCTCGATCGCGGCGGAGCGATACCAGTGGCCATCCCGGTATCAGCGCGCCGGATAAATATGCCACGGCGACCTTGAAGAGCCTCCTCCCTGGATCTCCGCAGTCGGCGTGTGCGGAGGATCAACGAACCGGTCGGACGATTTCGGGCGACTCGCGAGAGCACCGACAGGCTATCACCTCGCCGCCGCCGTCGTCGTCGTCGTCGTCACGCCAACGCGACCTTGACGACGGAGCAGCGACATCGGTGTCTCCCCTCCCCCTTCCTCCCGATGTCGTCGGCGTAACGCAGTGCGTGAATTAGCCGCGAGGACGATGTCGGGCGATCTGGACGGCTCACGGGAGGAGCGTGGCTCGCTTGGCGGCAGCGGCAGCGCAGCGTCGTCGTCGTCGTCGTCGTCGTCGTCGTCGTCGTCGTCGTCGTCGTCCTTCACGGAAGAAGCAGCAGCAGCAGCAGCAGCAGCAGCAGCAGCAGCACTGCTGATGACGTCGCCGAGGAAGACGCGCCAGTTGAGTCCGGGCGTTTAGTGACCGGCCCGTAGGCGACGATGAAGCGTGCCACGAGCGCATCCGTTGCGGCCGCCGCGACGGCCGCCGCCACGCAGGTGCACCATCCGGCCAAGATCCAAGAGCTGTTCGGGCCGCCGACGTCGGCCACGTCAGCGATGCCGAGCTCGACGCCGTCGTGCGCCGCCGACGAGCAGGATAGGCAGGCCAACGGCGTCGCCGCGATATCCCCTTGGCTCGAGCCGAAGGGCTCCCCCAAGGGCAGCCCCGGAGGAGCCGATGAGAACAACAAGAGCAAGTCCACGGCCATGTCGCGACTGTTGGCCGTCGACTCCGACAACTACATGCTGCGCAAAGGCGCCGCTGCGGCCGCGGTAGCCGCAGCGGCCGCCGCCGTGACGACGACGACGACCGCGACTACGGCGGCGACGACGACTAGCACGAGCACGGTGCCGTCCGCCGCTTCGATCTCGGCGTCGTCGTCGTCGTCGTCGTCGTCGTCGTCGTCGTCATCGTCGTCGTCGTCGTCGTCGACGGCGGCGGCGGCGGCGGCGACCGCCGGCTCGCCGAGCGTGCGGCAGATTCTCGCGTACGGCAACGGCTCCGCCGAGCACGTCGGCCCAGTGACGCGACCGATGTCGTCCAGGTCGTCGGCGAGCCACGCGTCCCCCAGGTGGTATGCCGCCGGTAATAATACCCAGGTGACGCCGCCGGTGGTCGCCCCGGCGACGAGGCAGCACCGGGAGGCAGCAGCTACGCAGCTCGACGAGCAGTCGCAGCAGCATTCGCAACTGCTGCAATCACGGACGGCGACGACGCCCGCGTCGTCGGACGGTCTCGAGAGCGAGCTCGGTTTCATTACGTGCGCGAGACCGGTGTCTTTTCACCGGCACATGTGTTGGTGCGGTGCTCAGCAGCAGCAGCAACAGCAGCAACTAACCGTGACGGAAGACACCGACGCGAACTCGACCGGTCGCACCAAGAGCAGGGCCGCGGCCGCCCTGGAAGGGCTGGCCGCGGCGGCCGCGCGGCGAACGCTGCGTGACGATAACAGTCTGTGTTGCTGCATGTGTGGTTCTCTATGTCCCGCAGAGTGCCATGCGTGCTTCCACGTCGTATGCTCGGACTACAGCACCCAGCACCTGTGCCAATGGAGTACCAAGGGTCACGCGTTACCGGGCCAGGTTCACAGCGAAGACAAGGTACGTGGGTGCCGATTAAGCTTCCGCTTCCCCGGCTGTGTGTGTGTGTGTGTGTGTGTGTGTGTGTGTGTGTGTGTGTGTGTGTGTATCGTGTGCACGAGAGCTTGCACAAGCGCGGCTCACCTGCTGCGGCTGACAGGCGGGGTCTTTCTGGGCTCCTTGCTCAGACTGTGTTAGGTTAGGTTCGGTAGACTTCCGAAAACGTCAGGTCCAACGTCAGGTTGGCGGGAATTTTGGCAGAAATCTTTCAAATCGTGTCCAATGAGTGTCCTCTCCGGTGGATTTCCATCGACGGCGATGTTTAACGGTAAAAGTCTTTGGATGGAGTTGTACAGGGTGTGTGAGAAAAGAATTCGGGACTCTGAGATGGGACTCAGAAAATGGTGGAAGAAGGCCTGACATTGGTCGGAAAGATTAATACTGTTGGAATTGTGAATGATTATTTATTTTAATTGAATCAAGTGACTTACTCGCTGCTTGGTGCTTTTAGTATTCTCTGATGTAATCTGCCGTGTCATTTGTTGGCGAAAAGAGTGCTATGCTTTAAAGGCGTCCGTAAGAAAAATCTTTGTTCTTGCTCGGAATATAAACAAATATCTATCTTCTTCTCATTTATACACTTCGCCAAGCAATTGTTGGTCACATAACGTGAATTTGGACAGTGAACAGTTGCAGTGAGTTATCACGAAAGTTTTCACAGTACAGTTAGGAATGACACCGTATTACTCTAATCGAGAGATGGCAAAAATACACTTTACATAGTATGGCTGTGCACTAAAAGCAGATAAGTCACTTGCTTAAATTAAAACAAATAATTGCTTATAACAATTCGATAATTGCTTATAACAATAGTTGGCCTTAAAGTTCTGAACCCTTTTTTTCAACAATTATATATCGCTGTTCATATTATGCTACTTTGCCAGATGAGTATATTGGTTAGATCTTGACTTTGCTAAATATACAGAGTTTTCGGGATCTTTTGGAAACGAAAAATTGTGATGAAGATTAATTAGATCAAATTGGAAAGAAAAGTCACATTTTGCAAAAATTGCAATAGTTCTTAAGTTATTAATCATTAAAAATGACCACATCTAGAAGCTCTTTGTATTGATAACTTGAAAATTTGCGTACTTATTTGCAAAATGGTATTTGACTTTTCTTTTCAGTTTCAGATGTGATTAATCTTCACAATTTTTCGTTTTCAAAAGATCCCAGCATTCTACGTATATATAGTAACCTTCGCATGGTACACGTTTGATAATACTCATGCCGGTGATACTGCAACTTTCAAGCTTTATAGTTCGAAAAGTATTTGATGAGAAAATATCTCGTTATAATATTTTGAAAAGGTCTCGAGATAAACTATAGAATATGCGAAAAATGGAGGTTTCTATTTAAGGAATTTAAAGCAACTCTCACATAATATTCAAACGACTGTTTCAAGGTCAAATCAATGGCATCATCTTGTATCCCCCTCGAGGTCATAAAACTTTTGTAAGAAACATTTTTCCTAAAACTTTGTGATTTCTGGAATTGACTGTTTAAATTAAAATGGGACACCCTGCATACATAAAATATGCGTGACGAGTGCCAACACTGTATTGTGTAAATCACTTATATGTAACTTATAGTCACAAAAATTTTTAATTTATTAAACAAATAAAAAATAACCGAATCTAAGCCATCTGGCAAGTAATACAATATACGAACAGCGATATATAATTTTATTTAAACATTTTTCACGTTAAATATTGCTATCGTTGGAGATCCATTTGAGGAAATTCGCATGACATTGTCTGAAGTTTTTTGTCAAGAAGTCTGAGAAGTATTCTTGCCAAGAATTTGTGGCAATCTGATGTTGGACGTTTTCGGGAGATTATTCAGTTAGATTAGATTTGCCCGCTAGATTTCCTCTGGATTTTCCCTGCGTAAGTTTTAATTAAAATGACTCGCACCAACTGTTTATCCGACGGGATAAAAAGTCAAAAAATAAATCTAATACAAATTGAAAGCCAGGGAAAATGTCGGGGAAACTTTCGGAGTCTTCGCGCTCAAGGTCGCGTATTTGGTGCATCTTCTACACTCGCAACTTGAACTCGCGTGTGGACTTCAGAGAATCAGGTTAGGTCCCGAGAAATTTTCTTACGGGCAAAGAGTCGAAGGGAAAAGGCGCGAAAGATTCCAGAAGAGAACAGGCCCCTATTCTGAGCGCATCAAAGCTAGATATATCCTTCTGATTCTCAAACTGAAACAACGAGTGTCGCACGCGACGCTCGTACAGGAAGAACGGAACTTTGCCGCGTTATGGACTCGCGATACGGTCAAGTCGTTATCGACTTGAGTTCTCCGTGGTGCTTAAGGACGGGTTCACACCTTGGCAGAGAAGTAGAAAGCAGAACAGCAGAAGCCAAGGGAGTGACAGATGCTGATAGTTTGTTTGATAGGTTATCAGCGCGACTTTTGACTGGATGCTGCCTTTATGCTTTCCGCTTTTCTGCCAAGGTATGAATACACCCTAAAGGAGGATTCACACCTGGGCAGAAAAGCAGAAAGGCAGCAGCCAATCACAAATGGCGCTGATAGACTGTCTCTCTCTTGCGAGAGTTTTTCTCTCTCTGTCACTCTCCTGACTGCTGCCTTCTTGCTTTCTGTTTTTCTGCCTAAGTGTGAATGCGCCCTAAGGGAAGATTCACATCTGGACAGAAAAGTAGCAACCAATCAAAACTCGCATTGATAGTCTGTTTCTCTCTCAAGAGAGAGAGAGAGAGAGAGAGAGAGAGAGAGAGAGAGAGAGAGAAGAGAGAAGGACAGACTACCAGCGCGACTTCTGATTGGCAGCTGCCTTTTTGCTTTCCGCTTTTCCGCCAAGGTGTGAATCCGCCCTGAGTCGTTCTCTCGTCTCTTCGATTGTCACGCCGGATTATACTGCTGATCGGTGGACGATACAGCGTTGATTACACCTTACTTCGCATGTCCGGCATTCCGCCGCGACGTGTCGGCCGGCTCGTGGCTTTCGTACACACAGGCGTCCCGTGACATTTTTAGACCGACCGAATTATCTCTCGGGCGCATGCACTATCACAGTTCGGTGAAACAAAAGCTCGCAGAAATGTCGCGCGATATACTGTCGGGGCGAAAAATCCCGGCTCGGGCGAAACCGAAGGCCGGTTTCTCGCCTTTATTCGCCGGCACGTCGCACAGCGGGATGAAAATGATCGAGATACCGAAGCTGGAAAGTGACACATCTTGCGATAAGGATTTGTCCGCGCGATTGTATTTCACAGTCCGAAACATTCCTCGGTGAAGAGAGAGAGAGAGAGAGAGAGAGAGATAGAGAAAGAGAGAGAGGGGGGGAGGGAGGAAATGCTATTCTCTTCCCTCAGCATTTTCTCCGTCCGGACGGACGAAGTTTCATCCTCTGATATTTTCTCTCTCGGGGAGGATGTCTCATGAAAAATGTCTTTTATCATCGTCGCCGTCAGGAGACTCGCGTGCAGCGATGAGAGAGTGGCGATCGTCACTGACTACCGCGAGCATCGCTGATGTTAACACAATAGAAGTTATCTGAGAAAAGACCTTCCGGAGCGACTCGAGCGAGTTCGAGAGAGCAAACGATCTATTTGAGCGGCTTTGCACGGCTCCGTGTAAGAGAAGGAAGCCGACTGTTTCTCGATGGTTGGATTTGTCCAGGCGCGGAATCTCCGTCATCGCCGCCACCTGTCGGCCACGAAAACCCACAGCCGCGACTTTTACGTAAACCGCGCGAACGGGACGTTTCGTTATCAGGGCGAGACCCGCTCGAGGCCCCGATGGCGTAACGACCTAAATTCGACGGGGCTCGGCGCAAAGCCGAGGGAGAAAAAAAGGACAAGGGGTCCGAATATCGCCCTGATTTCTTTCTTACAAGCTGAAGAAATCCGACGAGGCTGAAATGAGCGGAACGTGTCGATTCACGATCGCGCGCTTCTGACCGGCGCGGCGCGGCGCGGGGCGCGCGAGAATACTTATTTAAGTGACGTTACGTAAGCAATAATTCGCATCTCTTTGTGCCACCGTACGGCTGGAAATCGCGGATAAAAGTCACAATGAACTCAATCATGCAGACACGGCTGGCAATTAATCGCTCCTGAGATCTCGTAATTAACGTAAAAAAGGGACTGAAATGGCCTTTCACGGCGGTCGTCATGTTGCATTACGGCTCGCGGATGACTGAACGGATCGAGCGGAGTAAGTTGGGTGCATTTATCTTTAATCGCACTACACGACTCATTCCGGGAGACGACGCTAAGGAGAGAAGAACGATATTCAATCTTTAGGATAGGCGCGGCTTTCAATCTTGCGTACAATCGTTCGTTGGAGCTGGTCGCTCCAACGAACGATTGTATCCAACGAATCGTCGTTCTGCGAGAACGTCATGGACGAATCGAATCCAAAATTGACGCTCACACGTAGCCCAGAGTAGTGCTTGAAGGACTTCTAAATTAACTGGATAAAGATTAGATGAGACATGTAAATTTCTGGTTGTACATGGTGCTCAAAAAAAAGGATTCAGGACTGTAAGGGCAGATAGCAGGAGAAAGGTCTCAGTAGACATAGGTCGAGAAATGAATATCGTCGGAGTTATGAGCAATTATTTATTCTAATTCAAGCGAGTCACTCGTTTCTGGCGCACGGCCATACGTGAAATGCATTTCTGCCATTTTCTGATTAGAGTAACACGATGTCGTTCTCACCGTGCCGTGGAAACTTTGTGACAGCTCTCTGTGACTGTTCACTGTTCACAAGGATATGCGATTGACAATCGCTTGGTGAAGCATATGCGTAAATGGGAAGAAAATATACAGGATGTTCCGTTTTTAACGAGCCCGGCAAAAATCTCGAAAAATATGAAAGATACTAAGAATCGTTTCGGGCAAAAGTTGCGTATGGTTCCAAAGAAGACATAAAAGAACTGTATTATTTCGCTCGCAGATGGCGCCACTTTCGAGATATTTGCTCATCGTTACTTTTTTTCAATGGAATCCCCAATTTTTTATTATATCAACTTTTCTACCTAATTAATTTGAACAACTTTTGTCTGAAATATTTTTTTATTTGCCTAATATTTTTTGAGATATTTGGGGAAAACTTGATAATTTTTTAAATATTTAACCTACAATATCTGGCCAACTATTTGTCGGAAGAAAAAATGCTATTAGACTTTCTTACTCTACTTGGTCTCAAGAATATATTGTTACATTTTATTTCTTAGTATCTTCCATACTTTTCGAAATTTTTGCCTGGTTTATTTAAAACGAGACACACCCTGTATATCGTTTACATTCCGAGCAAGAGCGGAGAGATTTTTCCTTAGAAATCTCTTTAAAGCATAGCACTCTCTTCATCGATAAATGACACAGACAAATTACATCGGAGAATACAACGAAGACAGCAGGAACGAGTAGTCATTCGCTTTAATTAAAATAAATTATTGTTTGTAATTCCGACGATACGAATTTTTCTTCGACGCGTTTTTTTCGTCCGTTTTGTGAATACTATCTGCCCTTAAAGTCTTGAACCCCTTTTTTAACCCTTTGTAGCGCAAGCGAACATCCAGAGACCCGGCTATATTCCGCCAGTTTTCATATTTTATGAGCAGTTTTAATGATCGATTTTTTAGCAATTATATTTTCTGGCTTCTTAAGACTCGAACTAGTGTAAAATAATTGTGATTACTTATAAATTCTTTAAATTTAAAATGTTTTTAAGAGTAAATGTATGGCAAGGCGAAAAATTAACTATTTTTATCTGGGAATTGATACGCAGGGATTTTTTTGGGGTACTAATTACAAATTTGTTGTCAGATTGTCGAAATTCAAAATGGTGGATCCAATATGGCGGACAAAATTAAAAATTCAACCAATTTCCGTGAAACTAGGTATCTAGGGTTTTCTTGGGTCGCTGATTACGAATCCATCGTCAGATTTTCAAAATTCAAGATGACCAATCCAATATGTCGGACGGAAAAAACTTAAAAAAACTTCAATTTCTAGAAAAATGGGTATTGAGGGGTTTTTGCATCGCTAATTATAAATCCATCGTCAGAAAATTCACGATGGCTGTTCAATACAGCGAAGCGAGAATTTTAAGAAACCCAAATTTCTACGCCATTTTGAATTTCAGAAATCTGACAACGGATTCGTAATCAGCGATTCAGAAAAGTCCTGGATACAAACTTTGTAGAAATTGGTTAAAAAAGAAATTTCTGGCTCAAAGGGTTAAACACACTCTGTAATAACTGGTTTCCAATGCAATCTCAGTCTCAGTGCTTTCTGACACAAGTATACACGCCATGTCCCAACGCCACCTAGTACGCCCTAGTAGTAGGCCAAACGGTAACGCAAAGATATGTATCTCCATATTTTACACATCTGCAGCGAGATGTAGACCAAAGTGATCTGCGAGCGCGATCCTCTGGATAATTTCGCAACGACAAGACTTTTCGATCGAGGACCGATGTGAACGCAGATAATAGATATTTATATTATCCAGATAAAGACTAGTCGGTGCCAGAACTTTATCCGCAAGATCATCCGCATGATTTTATCTAGATAACAGCGGACACTGCTCGCAGCTATGTAGACTGAATTATCAGCGAGAACGCGTCGTCCGAGATAATTTCGTAGCGATTACACTTTTCTCGCAGTCAGCCAAGATGCGGCTGAAGATAATGTACATTTGTACATCATCCGGATAAGGACAAAAGCCGTAACGGTGCCGGTCGGTGGAGCTTCGCCCGAACAAAATCACCCACATCATTTCGTCGTCGGCGAGAACCCGCCGGAATAGATCGGCGTCGGTCGCGCGCGACAGCGGCGTCCATCATGGCCGCGAAACTTGGGCCTCCCGAAGAAGGCCCTTTCCTCCCGCCCTCCCGCCTGCTGTGCTTTTATCACGAGCGGATTTCCGTCGCGAGCGAAGATAACTTCCGCCAAGCGAGTTCTCCCCCACGTGACGAGCACTGTTGCGCTAAATTGACGGCCCCGGAGCTGTAAAAATTGGCGATTCGCGATCCTCCGTGGGATATCGTGGGGTAGCGTGCGAAACGGAGGAGCGATCTGGACGGAGATTAATCGAACGTGCGTGCGCACGCGCGGATTATTCGGACGAGGACGACGGGGCTTATCTCACGACTGTCATCACGATCGCCGACTCGGGGTTACGGCGGGAGGTTACGTTTTCTTTTTCTTCCGCTTTTTTACGCTTTCTCGCTTTATCGGGCCCGCGCGCGCGCGCGCGCGCGCTCCCGATAGCGCCCGGCACATGGCGGTGCTCTTCCTCCCTCCCCTCCCGCCTCTCACCCTTCTGTTCGCGTGCGCGCGCTCGCGGCCTCCTTCCGTCCCGTCGCGCGATCGCGACGCGATTTATCTAATCGGGCCTGCCGGCGGTCTCGTGGTGCCTTAAACTGCGGCCCGTTCGACGACGCGCCTTATCTTCGAAATCGAGAAAATCGGGAGACGCTTCGAACGCCCGCCAGGCCGGCTTTTATGTAATCCTTCGTCGATCGGCTTGGTTAGATAACCAAGCCACTTGCTCGGAAGCGCTAAAGCGGCCGTCCGCGAGAAAATCGTGTCGTTTCTTCACCGTTACGACTTTTTTCCTTTTCTCTTCTAAATGGAATGGCGGAGAAGAGGTAGCTTTCTTTATTGATATCGCTGTTTTCACGAAGGCCTGCTGAGAGAACACGAGTCGAGTGCGAACGAGTGTTGTTTCGGCTGAGGGTCAGGTAGAGATAACTAGCGTCGTAACCAAAATAATAACGCCGGATACGCGCGCGAAGGTACACTCGAACGACGAAATTTCATTTTTTTCCATTCTTCCGAGAGGAATCGACAGATCGCAAGAATCGTCGCGCGATACCCTTCCTCTTCTGCGTCGAGGGGAATTCTCAGTGAAATTTTTACTCGTCTTCATTGCGACAAGGAAAGTTACTAGTAGTACAAGATGGCGGAACGGTCTCATTAAATTTCGTGTTATATCGCGAAGCGTCACTCGAGAGAGAAGCCGCATTATCATCTGCGTATGAATGTTCCAGCTGTTAATTGAAGAAAATGCAACGCTGACAGCTGAAAAGAGTAACCGATAAAGCACGCCGCTTATTATCGAGGAAACGTTGGATATATTTCGAGGCTCGTGTCTCCGTGTGTACGCATTAATGTCGCGTCCACACGTCCGAAGGCATCTGAATTATTCCACTTTCGCTCTTTCGTTCTAATCTAGCCGACTAACGAGCTAGGATTCCTCCAATTTGCTGCGTAGGTCGTTCCACGAGTCGGTTTTCGAGTCGAGGGGGGAGTAGAGGGGGGCGAGGGGGAAGGATGAAAACTGTAATTGTACGGATGAAGACATATCGACGGAACTTGGACAGGGTCGGGAAAATCGTCGCGTCCTTTGCTGAAGTTTGCGCGTCTGTCTTATCTTCTTTCCTGACGAATGTCAATTGACGAACGCAGATACGGAGAAAAGTTATTCACTTCCGCGGGCGCGAGAAGTCGATCAGTCTCGCGCGTTAACACAAACTAACGGCGATTAACAGTTCTGTACGGTAACAGCAGGTACGGTCTTTGAATACATCAATTTTGAAGAGATACATTTGAAAGAGCAATATAGTTTTTATTTGTTTCTTTCAGTTTTGTTGAAATATTTATTTAAATATTTCATTTTAAATAATATTTATTTAAAAAAATACATATATGTGTAATATAATAATGTTATCTAATAATTTGAGTAATTTTTATCAGAATTTACAAAAAAAAACCGGTAATTCTTCGGTCGCTCCGGTAGTTTCAGCATAGAGAACGTCATTCATCGTTGATTATCCTTCCGGGCCTGTTTCGACTCGTCTCTCATTTGCATCAAAGTGCATTTCAAGGACGACCGCTAATAGGGAATCGCGCGAATTCGGCTCTAGATGCACACTCGTGTAGCTCTTTCCACTGACTAGATTAGATAGGGTCCCTAGGAATCCTCGATCACAGACGCGCATCACGTCAAGATATTCGTGCATCGTGATCGTTCATCATTCGAGGGAGTAACAATGTTACTTCTTTACACGTCACTTTATTGGATTAGCGTAAAAGTTTCGATGGATCGCTCAAGGACGTCGTGAGACTGGTCCAATTTTTCAGCAAATATTTACATGTCCAATATATCAAAGATAATATGGAATACAACGGCGATCGCTCGAAACAAGAATAATTCGTTTTTGAATGAAATAACTCTGTTTCTCTAGCACGAAATCCGGCAAATCTGCGCATCCGACATAAATATTACTTAACGCTACAAATGTCGCTCTGTGCTTGAATAATAATTTGCCGTTATAATTGCAGCCGTTTGCTCAAACGATCGGTAATGATGATGCATGAATATCCAGGCACGAGATGCGCATGTGACTAAAAATTCCTTCACATCTAGCGAGTGCAAAGAGATCTTCTCAGATACTCGCTACGCGGTTGGACTTTGCGACGCGCTAATTTTTACACTGCCGCCGGTGTCCACCTACGATCTACGTCCCGTTTTCTTCCTTTTTTTGCAGCCCGTCAGTGAATGGACGTCGTTGAATGTCGTTGAATGGATGTCAGCCCTAAACCTCTACCGCTATGCGGACGTCTTCAAGTCGAAGGACATCAAAGGCAGCGATCTGCTTCATCTGGATCGAGACAAGCTCATGGTGAGTGTTCGATCTTTCGCTCTTAATTAGATATTACCATACTGGTCGCCTTAAAGGTCGAGGAGAGAGGTCCGAGGGAAAGATCGCGAAAAATATTTTATTTCTAGGTTAGGTAGGTCGAACGAGCGAGCGAGCGAGCGAGCGAGCAAGCAAGCAAGCAATCGTTCTTGATGTAGCGTTGAGTATTTTATAAATCAAATTTCCGGAGAACTCTCTCTCTCTCTCTCTCTCTCTCTCTAAGCCAGCTCTCTTGCCGACTCCTCAAAGAGCTAACCTCGCTCTTCGAGTTACGTGGTCCGAGCCGTCACGTAGCCGATGTCACATCGTCGCCGCTACGGGATCGAAAATTCTTTGGCTAGTCTCCGGAGAGGCGATGACCTCGAACCGAGAGTATCTGGACGACGTTTTCCTTGGCCCGTTGACCTTGTAATTGCCCTGTAGCGTCCGCTAGTGCGCCACAGTCGGGTCTTTATCGAGTCCTCCTCTTCCCTCCTCTCTCCTCTCGTTCTCCCCTGATTTTTCTTTATCGCCAATTACGAGCGACGCGAGCTTTCGAGCACTTTCGGCTCGGCGGCGGCGGCGGCGGCGGCCATTTTCTTCGACTCGTCGTCGCTCGAGAAACTCGATTCGCCTTCGGCTCCTCTTCGTAGCGCCAAACGCTCTGATCGTCTGGCGATCTAACGCGTAGAAGCACGGGGAAAAACGTCGGGCGGTCGGTAAAAATGCAGTCAATAAGATTACTTTTTTTTTTATCAAAGGCGCGCATCGCGCGTATCGACTCGCGGGATGTAATTGTCGCAGTTTTTATTCGCATCCTCTCCTAATAGCCGCCTCCGCTGAGTCGCCGAGCGGTCGAAACGGTTCGACATAATTTTTGAACATGTGCGGCGATCTTATTATCTCGCGTCTATTTTAATCCGGTGCAATCACGGCGCTCTTTCTGTATCGCGCTATCAGCGCGCGCGCGCGCATGCGTGGTAGAATTGTTGCGTAGCGCGCACACGAAATGTGAAATTTATAATTTATCGCTACACACCGCGGAAACATGGATCGTGAAAATTCGTGATTTACGACCTCTCGGCTTCACGCGCGTGTTTCAACATCGGCATAACGACACATTTATTATGACGCATGATATTATTTCGCATGCCGCGCACCGGAGAATTTATTTCACAGCGGCGGCCACGCAGCCTTCTCTATATTAAAACCCTTCGGGTCTCGGGGAGTAGTAGAAGTGGCGGTAATTATTTGGTTTAGGGGAGTCGGAGCTCCAATCACCTTGACCTCAACACATGTTGTTGAGGTCATCTTGCTGAGTAACCTATCATACAGGTTTCAGCCGTCGCTCATTGTTTATTAAAAAGTTACCAACAAAACAGTTTCATAAATAGAGCCTATTTTCCCGACACGGTGTATATTAAAAAATGTTAAACAGTACATATGAGCGGAACCTCTACCTCGACCTAACCTAACCTAACCTAACCCAACTTATATATATTTGCATATGGTTGGACGTGTTGTTGGAAAGGTCCCCTCAAAACTTACAACGCCCAACCATATGCAAAGATGCATAAGTCAGTTTAGATTAGGTTAGGTTAGGTTTTTTCTCGGAGAAGGGGTGCGCGCAGAGAGGCTCCGCCCTTCTTCCGTTCATATGTACTGTTTAACATTTTGTAATGTACACTGTGCCGGGAAAATAAGCGCTGTATTTATGAAACTTTTTTTTGTTAATAACTTTTTGATAAGCAATATACGTCGGCTGAAACGACTTTTGAAGGTTACTCAGGAGGATGACCTTCATGCGTCAAGGTTATGATCATTGGAGCTCTGTGACTCCCCTAAACTAAATAATTACCGAAGCAGCGGCGGCGGTTTCACCCGATCATCGCGAGACATTGTTTGCATGTGAGTGCAGAATCGGAGGAAGAGGAAATTACACGTGTACACGTCTCTCTCTCTCTCTCTTTTTCTTCAACCTTAGGAGGATAAGATACGAAGCATACATCTCTCACGATTGATAACGCTGAAACAATATTAGATAAACGTCCGTCGTGTGGCGTGGAAATACGGGCGTATCGCCGGCGCGAGGTATAAAACGCCGCGAAATATACACGAGGTGCGTTTAAAAGCGCCATTATATCGCCGGCTGTATAATCCTTTTTATATCCACTGACGAAACTCTCGATTTATAACGACGGCCCTGCTGAATAAACTCCACCGCCGCCAAGCAGTGAAAACGCACGCAGTGCACGTTGTAACATGAAATCCGAGAGCGTTACGGAACTCCGTCTGAGGAGGTGCTTTTCCTTACGTCGTGGGACGCGCTCTTTTGTACCCCGTGACCGGAGAATTCGTTCGTGTTGATTCAGGGACGTAGATTGGCTGATTGGGCCGAGGGCAAACAAACGAGGTATTAGGTTGGCGCAAAAATAATTGCGATTTTTATCATGTTAAGTTTGGCGCCGATTTTTCCAGTTACCGTTGTCTTTTCCAAAATTCTATCTTGTGGAATAAACAGACTCGTTTCCCGTCGGAAGAAATGTGTGCAGGCCGATGGCCTTTATTTTGATTGATAAATATAATTTTTAATTGACATCTGCGTCTTTATACTCCATACGTAAAAACTACAATTATTTTTGCACCAATCCCAATACCTGCGATCGATTTTCCCTTAGCTGCTTCCGCCACACGATAATAGTGTTTCCGTGAGGTTTGCGACACTTTTTTCTTTCCGCGAAAAATCACGACCGTTATTATTATCATTATTATTCTGTTTTACCAACAGAATAATAACGATACCTTCCGTGCCGCAAGATATCTCGACAAGTCGCGAAGAGAGTCCACTGATGAAGACTCTTTATGCAGCAACATAACCTCCTACAGAGATACATAAAAAAATCGGCAACTCCAGGACGAAGAGGGGCGGGGGGTTGAACTTCGAAACGCGAGCTGTGCAGAAGATAACTGATCAATTGGGTCTTGAGTTTGTTCATACCCTCCCCCCTCCCCTCCTCCCGAAAGCAAAAAAATGAAAGAAGTCGCGAACTTTTCTCGGCGCGAACTACCGCGTATCGGAGGGGAGCGGTAGGAGAAGCTCCGTTCTAACGAACCCCCTCTCCCCACCCCCTGCCGCGTAATCACACGAATCCTTCGCCGTACATTGGCTGAAGTCGGCTGTCTTCTCGGCCGTGGCGCGCGGAGTGTGCAGCTACGCCGTTGCCGGCGACCGTCTACGTGCGTTTTCCCCGCACTTGCTCGCTCGCGTTACCACGCGCCGCATTATCATAATTACGAGCGAGGCCCGCGCGCGGAGTAACGGGCAACGGGGGAGACGGACAATCGAATTACTCGGGCCGAACGTATTGGCCCGAGTAGTTCTCGCGCCGACTCGCCTTGCCTCGTGGGAAAACGGGCGTTCCCTTCGGGCCATAATTGCCGCGCGCGTTTTCCACATCGAGCCCGTAATTGCACCGGCGCGCGTGCGTGCGCATGCGCACGCGCGTGCGCGGCCGGTTAATAAGAACGGTTTTGAATTGCAAAAATCGCGACGACGACGCGCGCGCGCGCGTCTGAAAACCGGTGCGTGGGCTCGATAAACGGCTGCTTTAATTAAAGCAGGATCGCGGCGGGAGCGGAGAGGGACCGGCCGCGCCATCTGCGGCGATTAATAATTGCGCGGAAATGTCAGGTCGTCAGGGCGATCGTCGTCAAGCAAACGCCGGCAACTCGCGAAGTCGCTCACGTGTCGTCGCGTCTGCTCCCATTTTCTCCTTCGTCTCTCCCGTCCCCTCCGTGTCGATTTCTTCCGGAAAATCGATCAATAGATCGATCGATCGATCGGTCGGTCGACCGCCGCGACGGCGGCTCCCGTTGGCGCATGCGCGCGGGATCCTTCGATCCTCTCGTGGAAGCCCCGCTTGGCTCGTCCTTCGAACGCATCCCCCGCCTCTCTGTCGGAAGATCGGTAAGGAGGGAGCGACGGCCGATGAATATCGCTCGCGTTGTCCTGCCGCGGAGTGGCCGAGGAACCACTCGAATTTCCGAGCCGGCGAAGATGCGAAGCGCGTCGCCAATTATTGACCCGAAGGGGGCGATATTTTTCGCGTCGAACCTGATCGCGGCGCTCGCGATCGCGTGTAATATTATCGATCACTTTACTTTAGCCCTGTCTAACGCTAATAATAGCGTTTAACCGACTGCGGCACCGGCCGAAATAGCGCTGGATCGCGCGCGCGCGAACGCGTGTACGGCCAAATACCATAATTCGGAAAAGAAACCAGCTGCCGGAAGTGCCTCCCTCTCCCTTCGCCCTCTCTTTCCCCTTCGAAGCCGTCGAAGCGGGCGAGTTTCTCTCGCAGCGACTGGAATATCGCTGTGTGACGCGAAATTGCAAGATATTTCCCTCGGTTCATGTCGCCGAGCTCATTTCTCGAGTCTCCGTTTCTCTCGCGTGCGGAAGCGCTCGAGGATGGGAGGAGAGGGAGAGAGAGTCCGTCGGATCAGAGTCGAAGCATCGCGATCTCCTCTCGATCGCGCGCAGCTTGCGAGTGTCGCAAGGCGCATGCGCGCGCGCGCGGGGTAAAGAGGATGTCGGGAATTGAAATCGGAGCGCGAGCGTGAAAAAAGGGGAGTTGAGGTTATGTCGCGCGATCGACCGCGCGGCTGAATTGACGGGGAGTTCGCGAAGGAGCTGCGACATTGAATCGGCCGATGTGGGTCGATTAAGATAATGCGATTAATGCGCGCGCGCGCGCGCGCGCAGGCCGCGCGATTATCGCACCGAGCGCGCGCGCGCGCACCTAGTTGCAAAATTGCGACTCACTGACGCACATCGCTCTGCATCGCGCCAAGGTTATGAGCATTTTTATGTCGATCGCACTCTGGCGACTCGCACGAACGTATTCGACGGTTATTTTAACAGGCGCCGGGGAGAAGCCGCGCGAATATGCGAGGCAGACTCGCGACTCTCTCTCTCTCTCTTTCGAGAGAGAGAGAGAGAG